ACACGACGTTATCTAGCTTTGGTCAATGGCCAGTGAAACTCGTTTATAAAGACACGAGAGTATTGTGTAACACTCCTAATAATAGTAATAATAGTGTTACTAGTAAGAGCTCGTGTAATATCGGTAATATCGATTATCATCATCATCGTTGTCATCACCCTTCTTCTCCTTTTCATAGTTGCCATTGTCATCGTCATTGTCATTAATACGTTAAATATTGACAACCATTTTACATGTAACTCGCTTTACTTGATTTTGCGATTAGTAAAATCGTGTCGTAGAACGTTTAATGATTATCGAAAAATTTTGAATGTAATTTTTCGTGGCAGACTTGTTGATTGTTTATTAATTATTTGAATTACAATGCATAGACAACTGACTCCCTACTTTACGATATTGATTCAGGTGATGCGTATCATTTAGATGTCGATGAAAATATCTGTCACGATCGTAGGAAAAGGTGATCTCTGCTTAAGTAAACATGCTAATCGCGTTTCAATGAAAAAAAAATTAATCAGCACGCAATAAAAGATCGATGAGAAATAAGACGAGAAAAAGGAACGAAGGAATGCACTGGTAATAATGCGAAATGTATTCTGTAAAAGTAAAAAACGTCGAAGCGTGTCACTGTAATCTTTGCTTCGTTACGTAACCGATAGCAGCGAAGTCGTTCGTTCGACTCATCCCTACTTTCGACTACGTTCAGTTGCTTCCGACGGAATTTTCGATCTACCTCCTCACGAATCTATCCGGGCACGTCGTGAACGTGGTAACGCGACGATCGTAACGAAAAAGGCGGCAAAAGAGAAAGAAAACATTTTTCTTTTTTTTTTCGTCGATAGATGCATCATGTAATACGTACTTGTACGATGTGATATACGCATGTCACGGGGTTCGATGCACAGTTACATCAGCGCACGAGGGACACGAGACTCGTTAGTCGACAAGATGATGATTTTTAGCTGTAAACCTCCGCGTGTGATTCGATCGACCGAATCGCCGAGTGATTCGATGGTAGTGATTCGTAGTTGGTTAGCAAGAGAAGCTCTCGTGTCTCGTAGCGTCCTTATCTTAAGCCCTTTCTTTCTTTAGGTTATTTATTCGATATTTGAGGTTATCTTATTCATGACGCGGAACCGTAGAGGCTATCGTAGGTGGATGTAGATCGTGAAATAAATGACCAATAACTGGGATATTGGGAAATGAACGATACGGGTTGTGTCGCCTCGGACTGAAAAAATATCGAATCGGAGGGACGTGTGTGTATCGCACGAGGGGCGACGAAAATCTGGGGAAACCGAATGATCGAGAATCGGAATCGAGATGGGATTTCATAAAGGAAAATGACAGTCGAAAGGCGTGAACCTTTGTCGAAATTAAATGATTCTTGACACGAGCTGGCCACGAAGCAACGCGGGACACGGGCAGCTCAAAGACTGTAGCTAAAATCGTTCTATGCGCTGACCTACGAGGAATGTTCCTCCCCTCTTAATTCGATGTTTCTTTGCACACTGACGATTTGAA